TTTTATTTCATTAAGCTTATTACAAAGTTTTTGAATAATTTGATTTTTATCAGATTCTAGCTCCAATTCCAATTCCTTAAAGCAAGGATCTAACAAAGAGGCCATTAATCCTATATCATTTGAAGTATCCCAATAAAAGAGCAATGCATTATATATATTATCTTTTATTTGATCTAAACTTTACTTGTATCTAATGGGTATTTAATAGATATTTTATTTTTGGTAATATTGCTTGTAGCCTCTTCATTATCAACTTCAATTTCTTCAAAATCCTCTGAATCAAATACAGTATTATTATCAAGATAATCAATATTATTCGATAAATTTCCAGCTAAATCAAAAGTAAGCTCTTTAATTGTAGGAATCATTTTACTAAAAGTAATATAAGTTGCTTTAGAAAAATCTCATGTTACTTTCTTCAAATGGTATAAGAAGATCAACTAATTGGTTTAATAATTCTTACTCATCTTCAGATAATATTATTTTTTTTAACTTAATACCATCCTTTTTATCTTCTCTATTCACACTTATATATAAATCAGCTTCTAGTTGAATTATTGCATCTTTAAGATAAATAAGCTGATTCCAGATATAGTATGATGAATTTCATCTAGTCTGCATATCTTGAACACAATACATCACATTTTGATACATTAATTTTGCTACACCTTCTCTAATCTTTCAATTTGTTTTTGAGTTGAAAAAAAACTAATTAACTATCTTACATGCATTACTAAAATTTTAGCAGGTAATAGCCCTTTTCCAATTGCTAACTGAAGTGTATGCACAGTGCATAGAATTCTTTAAATATTTTCACATTCATGATTTTGAGATAAAATAGGTAGTGCTGCTTTCATATTAGCTGTATTGTCAGTGACAATTGATACTACATACCTTTCAAGATTCCAATTTAAAATGCATTTATAAAGTAATTCAGCAATAGTATTTGCTGTATGAGGAGAAGGTGCATATATTATATCTAACATTACATCTTTAAATTTAAAATCTAGTGTAATTCATGTAGCTGTAATGCCTATATATTCATGTTTGGCCCTACTTGACCACAAATCTGTTGTGAGAGATATCGTTATTGCAGTTTTATTTAATAAATTAATTAGATTTTGATAATTATAATAATAACTTTTTGTTATTATAGTTTTTATTTTTTGTTCTTTAGACATTATGAAAGAAGGATCAAACTAAAACATTTTATCTTTATAGTCTAGATTTGTAACAGTAGAAATAGGCTAATCTGAAAGTATAATCTATTTAAGAATAGCTTCTTTTTGCTGTCTTTGAATATGCTTTGGATGTGGATTAGTTAATCAAGTATAATCAGTAATTTTTGTATTTTTTAACTAAAAAATTATAATTTAGTTAATTTTATTAATTCAAAATCTTAAATTTAAAAACAAATAAAATATACTCTTTTAGGCTTAGGTTCACTTTCATTTTTATTAATAATCTGATGAATATCTTGTAAATGTGCAATAAGATTTCTAGTAGAACTTCCAATATTGTAATATTTTTGATCACATCGATCACTATTATTATTTATAATTTTACAAACTTGTACTGTCTCACCTTTCTTATAAAAAGTCTTTTCAAAA